CGACAGAAAGACAGACAGACAGACAGACAGACAGACAGACAGACAGACAGACAGACAGACAGACAGACAGACAGACAGACAGACAGACAGAAAGACAGACAGACAGACAGACAGACAGACAGACAGACAGACAGACAGACAGACAGACAGACAGACAGACAGACAGACAGACAGACAGACAGACAGACAGACAGACAGACAGAAAGACAGACAGACAGACAGACAGACAGACAGACAGACAGACAGACAGACAGACAGACAGACAGACAGACAGACAGACAGACAGACAGACAGACAGACAGACAGACAGACAGACAGACAGACATAGTCATTGATTCATTGATTCAGATCCAGCCTGTCATGGACATAGTCAAGATCAATCAATATCTTCTGGCCCAGAACCATCAAATGACATTGAAAATGAACTGATGAAAAGAGTTTCAGAATTGGAATTGAAAAATAAACAACTTGAGCAGGCAAATAAGGACCTGAGACAACAAACAGGTTCTGAGGGTAAACCTAACAACTTCTCTGCTGATGGTTTGAAAGACAACCCAAAGCTTTTTCGATTCTATACTGGACTTCCAGATTATGAAACTTTCAAAATAATTTTGGAATCCTTTGGTCCTGCTGTCAACAATTTAATTTATGTTGGCTCAAATACAAATGCCAGCAAAATTATATCAGCTGACCACATAAAACGAGGTCCAAAGAGAAGCTTACCTGCTGAACAAGAATTTTTCCTTGTTCTTGTGAGACTAAGGTTAGGTCTCCTTGAAGAAGACATTGCTTACAGAGCAGGAATATCTACAACCCAGTTCTCCAGAATATGGATCACTTGGCTTGATTTTTTACAAAGCAAGTTCAGATCATACCCAATATGGCCATCTAAATCTTCTGTTATGAAAACAATGCCAAACTGTTTCAAAGAAACATATCCTTCAACAAGAGTAATCATTGACTGCACTGAGCTTTATATTGAGAGGCCATCTTCACTGAGGTCACAAAATGCAACATATTCAAATTACAAGCACTATAACACAGCTAAGGGCCTTCTAGGAATCAGTCCAGCTGGAGCAGTTTCCTTTGTTTCAGAACTTTATACAGGGAGGACCAGTGATAAAAATGCTACACGCAACAGCCAACTCTATGGTCTACTTGAGAAAGGTGACTCTGTCATGGCAGATAGAGGCTTTGACATAGAGAGTGACTTACCAGAAGGTGTAGGCCTCAACATTTATGAGGGGAAAAGAGCATTTGTCTTTGGGAGAGGAGATAGAGACGAGGCAAATTGCATCAGTTCGAATCCACGTAGAGAGGGCCATTTCAAGGATAAAAACATTTAAAATTTTAAGCTCAGTTTCCCCTTTAACAATGGCATCTCAGTTGAATGAAATCTTGGTTATTTGTGCCTATCTTACAAACTTCCTTCCTCCTTTAATCAATGAAAATGCAGCAGATGATTAAGGAAATTTTTGTAAAGGATACTTTCTCTTCTGTAACTACATACTTTTTTACAGTTAAATTAGATATAATCAAATCAAAATGAAATCAGATAATGATTTTAATTTTTGGTGGTTTTCAATTTTATCAAACTACAAGAACACACTAGGTCTTTTTATTTTGTCTTTCTAACATTTTCCTATTTAAATGAAAGCTTTAAACATATAATGGTTCTATTAAATATTAGAAATTAAAAAAATAAAAATGAATATTAACATTCTTAAGAAAATTAAACATTTGTGTAAGCTTTTGCAAGAAATTAAAGGCTTTTATAGTTTCACAATTCTTTGGCAACATTTTTACAACCTTGGCAAAATGCGGTTAACAAAAAAGACAGTCAATGATGGAAGCATTTTTGACTTCCACAAAGATTTATCTTTATAAATTCTTTCACAATGAAAATCGTTTAATGTAAAAACTACAAAGTCAATCTATTCAAGTCCCAGTAAATTTACAAGTCCTTGACATTGATAATAATATGCATGTTTTTCCTTCAGTTTTAAGCCAGCATCAGTTAGCATCAAGAAGAAGGTCCGGTCTTTCAAAGAAGCTTCCTCCAATGTCATGTCTCTCTTTGAAAAAGGACACTTTACCTCTAAGCCTCCAACAGGACAATCATTATCAAAGATGATACCATCAGGTGTACCACCCAACCAGGGCCAGTTTGGACTTATAATGAAGCCACATTTCTTCACCTCAAGCTCAGGATTAAGTTCACTGTATTTTGCAATAGCAGTATTCTCGTTATTGATTCCCCATCTTATTGGTGCTGGCATTGACTCTAAACAATATTTGTTTTTATCAAGAACTGCTTTTATTAGAGAGGATGGATAGTTATTTGGTCTTCTGTTTAAAACTTTTCCAAAGATAGATGCAGTTATTCTTTTGGCCCGTTCCAAATACCATGCTGGCTCTTCACTCTGCTGTATTGTTTTGGTACAAATCTCAATCGATTTTTCAACAGATATGCCAACTTTAGAAAGAATGTTTCGGATAATTTCTTCCTTCAACTGTAATTCACTGACATCATTATCATGTGGCACCTCACAATAAAGTCTATGAATGTAATGCAACTCGGTTTGCTCATTGAAAATGCTTCCTGAAAATTTCTCCAAAGCTCTTGTGCTTGATGTTTGAAACAAAGAGCAAGGCTGATAATTATTTGACTCTATTGCTTCACAAAACATTGGGGCCTTGCCTGCCAATCTCAGCCTTTCCACTAAGCCTTCTAGTTCATCTGGACTTGTTTCCAAAGCAAACTGTGGTGTAGCACAATATGTGTCTCTGCTTCCAGTTACAAGAGGCCTCTTTCTCTTCTTAGTTTCTTCTGCTTTTTTCAAAAACAAGATCTCGAAACTTAAAAGCTTTAGATGACAGATTTCTTGCACCTGAAGGAATATGCCATTTCTGTCCAACCTGGGTGCATGTTATATCACTTGGTATTTCTTTAATGTCAATGTTGATAAAGTCAAGTAAAGTATAAAGTAAAGCAGCAACATGCTTGCAACACCCTCCTTGACCAGCTTTACAGTCGCATTTCACATGAACCACATCACCATTGATTTGGTCTAGATGAACATATACCATGTACTGGACACTCTTCATTGATGCAGATACTTTTGCCTTTACAAGGAATAACATACGTTTCCCCTTAACGTTAGGTTTAACGAATACAGCACGCACATATCCCTCCTTCCATAGTTTGTACCCTTCTTTTTTGTTCCTAAATGCCTTGGGCGCTGCTCCATGCTCTGTTGATGTTAAAGGGCTATTAATTAAACGATCGTCTAATTTTTCATGGCTAAAACTTGGAAGTAGTGTCAAGGACCTTAACCAACCGTCCTTTTCAACTGTGGCTTGTTCTGCAGTCTCATCCACACCCACTGTATCTACTATTTCGGAAGAGCCATCGCCATTGGCAGGCCCGCATGCTCCTATAACAATTCTGTTCTCGTAAAGTTCTTCTGTTGCCGATACTTCCTTGGCACTGGACCCCGGACTAGAGTTTTGAAAAAAACTAGGGAAGTGCTGGCCATCAGAATTCGCTGGATTTTCCATGATTTTTTGACAGTTTCTTAACAATTTTTCAGCAGCAAAATACAACGTGTCTCGATCACCATAGAAAATGTAAACAGACGGCCGCGATATTAAATACAAGTACCACAATGCATTGCGGACTCAGGAGCGCATGACATAATAAGGGGAAAGGTCTATTGGTGCGTCGCAACTTTCAGTCTTTGCATTAAGAGTTACGCACTGACATTATTCATTAAATAGAGAATTTACACTGATACCGTTCTGAGGATTTTTGTCCTTGTCAGCTACCACACACCTCAGGTCTGCGCCGTGGGTAGCGTAATTCAATTTTTTTTGTTCTGGCATCCGTGTTTCTTGAAATATGCTGTTTCGGAGTGTCCAACTTTCATGCAGAAATCGCATATCGCTCTGCCATTATTGCAACACAAATCTCTGCTCATCTGGTTCCTAGTTATTGTTTGATGTTGTTCTACATATGTTAGAGGACATCATTTTTTCCATCATAGTCTCCATAGTTTTGTCATGTCATTTTCCACGCTTTGGACTGATGCAACCGGGACTGGACTGACAATGCTTTCCTTCTTGTCAGTCTTCACCCAATGGTGCAGCTCCACTTACCACCTGGTCGTGGATTTCTTCTTGCAGTAGAAGGGGCATCCTCACTAGTTGTGATCAGCACTAGTTGTCTCAAAGATGGGCATTATCGGTTCACAAAGTGCTCTCTCATGAGGGTGTCTTGGTGTCGGGCGGGCATCTTGGCATACGCTTTTTGTACTAAATGCTGTATGTCTCGTCCAAAATCGTTTGCTGACTCTTCTTCCCCTTGTTTTCTTGAGAAAAGTTCTGAATAGAAAAGCCTCCTCGCTTCCTTGGGTAAGAAATGTTTTCGTAGGGCTTCTTTTAGCAATTCAAGGAAGATTTTAGGTTATATTTAGTGTGATCCTGATGTCTGCTATGGTCGGTTGCCACTGCCGTCTTGCGGGGGCTGGGTGGTTTTTCGAGGGCTGTGTTGTGTTCGGGGGCTGGGTAGTGTTCAGGGGCAGGGTAGTGTTCAGGGGCAGGGTGGTCTCTAGGGGTAGGTGGTCTCTGGGGGTAGGTGGTCTCTGGCGGTGGGTGGTCTCTGGGGGTGGGTGGTCTCTGGAGGTAGGTTGTCTCTCTGGGGGTGGGTGTTCTGGTAGGTTCCTCTGGGGGTGGGTGCTGGTGGGGTCTCTTGGGTGTGGTGGTCTCTGGGGGTGGGGTTCTCTGGAGGTGTGGTGGTTCTGGGGTGGGTCTCTGCGTGTCTCTGGGCGGTGGTGGTCTCTGGGGGTGGGTGGTCTCTGGGGGTGGGTTGTCTCTGGGGGTGGGTTGTCTCTGGGGGTGGGTTGTTTTTGGGGGGCAGGGGCTCTTCTTCTCACTGGGCAAGGGGAGAGTTCTTGTCAAATCTATGATATTATTTCGTTTTAGTTATTCATTCTGTTGTTTAATTTATGGTTGAGATTAAATAGCCTTGTGTTATCAGCTATGCCAATATTAAACAAATAATTTCTCATTAGTATTATTAATCAACGTTCGTAGCACCTGTGAGTGTTCGTAGCTGTTCAAGTACGTCTTACATTGAATCTGTGGTGGTGAGATGTGTGATTCAGATAACGATAAATTCTTTTTTGCTTGTTCTCACATCTGAGACTACACTCGGGAATGGTGGATTCCTTTGGGCTTTATAGTGGGGAAAAGTGAACTTTTCATATTAAAGGTTAGGTTATTTGTATGGTTAGGTGAAGCAACTTATGCTGATGCACCAACATCCCAACATTGGTTCCTGTGATGAGGGAATATAGCTGAAGGGCCTGAAATGAAATTTTATCACAATTAATTTCAAGAGGGATGTTGAAGAATTTGTCATGCTTTAATTTGGTTTTTAAGTTCCTATGTGATTCTTTGGTGCAATTGGAAATAATAAAGAAGGAGTTCTGAAGTTTGGGTTTCTGCACGAAAGTGACTCAGATGGGTGTATTTGATTGCTTTGGTTCAGGATTATCGTGCTTAGTACGTAAGCTGTTCTCTTGTCTCTTCCCTCCCTCCCTGTTTCATATCAAGCGTAGTGTGTTTCTTTAAACCCTTGCTTATTCTATTGTCTTAGGGTAGGGTCTGTTCATATCAAGAAATTCATTTCACAGTTTTTGTTAATTTTCGCTTAGGAAAGACTAAGTTCATAATTCAGTCATGTTTTCTCCTCCACTTTCGAATCTTGGATGTCTAAGGTAGGACTGGTGCATCGGTTCTGCGTTGGGGAAAAGTGAACTTTTTTGTCCATTCCCTGCCCTGAAATTTAGGCTGCTTGTACTTCAGTCTATTAAGCTATATCAAAGGTTAAAATTCTGTATGGATTACGTGAAGCAACTTGTGCCGTTGCATGAATGCTCTAGCATTGATTCCTGTGATCAGGGAGTTTAGACCCTGTTTACACGAGAGAAAATGGAACGGTTCCAAATGGAACCGTTCCAAAACTAGTACGGATAGGCCTTGCGTTTACACGGGAACTGTTGGAACCGTTCCAGTTTGGATCTGCTATCCGTGCTCTTTTGGCTCCGCTACAGAAACGGTTCCATTTGGAACCGTTCCGTTTGGCTCCCGTGTAAACGGGCAGAACCGCATGGAACCGAGCCAAAAGAGAACGGATAGGAATTGAGGCTACTATGCTATGAGATAGAGGCCAGTTGGAAATGATTTCTTTGTTTGCTTTATTGCTGCGCGCCAAAAAAGAAGAGAAAAAAGTTGATTTGTTTACGATCTATTTCATACATACTTCACGATGAACCGATTAAAGAATACTGTAGCATCAATTTTCTCAATTTTATTGTCAGTTTTGGTAGCTAAAGTTGAAATTATCAGTACTTTGCGTCTCCTTCATAACTTACGACAGCGAAGAATTTTGAATATGATAACAAGCATCGACCAGCGTCAGAGTATTTTCAGGAATTTAATGGCGATGAAGAATGCTCGCAGAAATCCAAAAAGAAGGTTCTGGATCAGGCCAGGGCGAACGGATGGTTGGTGGCAAAACTTTGTAGACAATGTTGTTGTACCAGAAGAATGGAGAGAGAACTTTCGCATGAGTAAGAACAGTTTTCTTCTACTGTGTAACAAGCTAAGGCCTTTTTTGGAAAAACAAACTACAAATATGCGCCAGTCTATATCTGTAGAAAAACAACTAGCAGTCACATTATATTACTTGGCCGACGAGGGCAGATATAGAAAAGTTGCTAATGCTTTTGGCATTTCAAGATCAGCTGTTTCAAAAGTGGTTAGAAAAGTATGCCATGTTATAACAAATGAACTAGGACCAACATACATCAAGACACCTCAAACTGAAGATGAAGTACAGTTTCTTACTGAAAATTTCTATATGCATCATGGTTTTCCTCAATGTTTGGGTGCAGTAGATGGAACCCATGTATTTATTCGTCAGCCTTCAAAAAACCCAACTGACTTTTTTAAACAGAAAAAACAGATATTCCTTGAATGTCCAGGCAACCTGTGACTATCGGTATTGCTTTATAGATGTTGTAGTAAAATGGCCTGGTTGTGTGCATGATGCACGAATCTTTGCTAATTCTGCAATAAACAAAATGTTACAAAATGGTGATATTCCACCATGTCAGAAAGAAATCGTTGAAGGTCATGACAGTGTCCCTGTCTGTCTCCCTGGTGACCCAGCATATCCACTTCAGCCATATCTCATCAAAGAATATGCCAATGGAGGTAAAACAATTGATGAGCAATTTTTTTGTCATCGTCTCTCGTCTGCAAGAATGGTAATCGAATGTGCTTTTGGCAGACTCAAAGCAAGATTTGGAGCACTACGTCGAGAAATGGACATATGTCAGACCAGTCTGTCAGATGTGATATACAGCTGCTTTGTACTACACAATTTTTGTGAACTTCATAAAGAAAGAGTGCCTGAGGAACACATAAAAGCTGCTATGAATTATGATAGAGATTTTCAGCCAAACTCTAGTGGAAAAAGAAACAATTCAGGAGAATCAGAAGGCAAAAAAGTCAGAGACATCTTCAAATTATACTTTAACAACAACTAACATTTTAAAAACTTTCCAATTATTAACGTTTAAACATTTCATCCCAAAAACAGTTTATCTTAGTTTTAATGATACAGTTTGTTATGTTGATTTCCATTATTTCTAACCAAGTTAATTTTGTTTAGAGTTAAAAATCAGTTGAATCAATATAATATGATACTTCTTAATTAAGAAAGCTTGTTTGAGTTTCTACAATAGTGTGCTAGTATGGAAAAATTGTAAGTAAAATAGTTTTTCGAGTTACAAATCAGTATAATGTGGCTCTGAACTGTCTTCATTTCTGTTAGTGCTTCGATTGTACATTATGTTTTGCCACTGGTTCCCATTTCCTTGCCCTTGGTAGTAATTGGGTGCTGGATAAAACTCTTGCATTGGCTGAAACATCATTTGCATCATTTTAAAGCCTTCTGACATTGTCTTATTCAAATCTTCTGAAAGTTGCCTAATTGTTGAAGAGAACTGTTTCTCAGAGGACTCAAATTGAGCAACAAGCTTCTTTTTCAATTCTATGTCTTCCTTTCTCATCTCAGCCTCTTCTGTTGCAAAATTTAAAATCTTCTCTTGGAAAGTAGTCTTCTTGTTTGACTTGGAATTTCGGCGGTCTTTTAACAAA